GTAGAGAACACTGATGTGGGCCCCACAGCTATGGTCCCACTGTGTTCGTAGGGTAGAATGTGTTCTAGTCATCCTAGGGTTAGCTGGAGGTCAGTCAGTTATTTCAGTTGTTATTTATTTCAGTTTTATTTTGTTMTATTTGTTATGTAAATACTAAGGGCAGATCTGTCCTTTCCATGTAATGAGCATAATCTATAAATACTAAATAGAAGTGGTGGTGGCAGAACATTCAGATTCTATCCCTCCTTTCAACCCTTTGTGTTCTACAGTTCTCTCTTCTCTTCCTCTTCTCTTTTCTACATTTTCCTTCTATTTTCAAACCTGAAATCTATTAGGGTTCAAGGCTGATAGCAGTCTTGAACTTCTACAATAGCTTTCCAAGGAGCAGCCAGAGTAGCTCTATGTAAGCAGTCCACATCCCAACCATTGTTTGACAGCCCATGAATACTTGAAATAACTCTAATCCACAGCCTCTCATTTTCTTTAGGAAATCTCCAAAGCCATTTACTCAACAAGGCCGAATTCTTCAACTTAACATTTCCAATGCCCAGACCCCCTTCAACCTTCAGTTGCATCATCTTATCCCATCAAACCAAATGATCTTTCTTCCGTTCACCAGGCTCCCAAAAGAAATCTCTCATTATCTTTTCAACTCTTTTTACCACAGCTTGAGGCATCTTACTCTATCTTGATGAACAGCTTTTACTTATTAGGGCAAAAACAATGAGCATCAGCAAACTAAGTGTTGAGGGAGACTCAAAACTGGTGATCAACTAGCTACAGGATGAGGGAATGAAAATGTGGATGTATAAAGATAGGAAGAAATTCAGGTGGCTAACTAGAGATATGGAAGTAAGGAGGGTGGGTCAAGCGGAGTACAAATGCTATAGCTAATACAATAGCTATGCAAGGGGTGGAGAGAGACTTGTTATTTGGGTACAGTTGTAAGGGAATTGGGCTTCTTGGGGGAGAGATAAGAGGTTTTATCTCTCATGAACCTTAAACTGYTTTTTTAAGCTCAGATAAATAAAATTTGGTGTTGTTGATCAAAAAAAAAAAAAGCTTTTACTTATTCCMCCCCCCCCCCCTTTACTATCCATATCAACAGAATTTCCTATATACACCCATGTAATAAAGTATCAACAGCAACATCAACTTGATTATACCCTTCCCTGAATTGTGAGTTGTTATTACGAATTGACTCCTACAGTTCCCTATCCCCCAACTTCATGGATACTCCATTGCTCAAGTATCAACATACAAGAACTTTCTTCCACAGTAAATCAAAGAAAATGCATCAAAATAAAAATGTAATACAAAAAGCGAAAGGATGATGAGGCATCACCCTTACTCAAAAGCTAAGCTGATACAGAAAAGAACAACTCAGCAAATACAAAAGACTGATTAAATCTAACACAAGTTTAAACCAAAAGTTGGAAGTGATTAAAATTAGAAAACTCGTTAAGAGCTAAAAACCGGACCACATTCATAATACCAATATCAGCACGTATCTTGTTACGGGCTGTTTGATAAAAGCTGAACTGGATAATGATCAAAAAAAAAAAAAGCTGAACTGCATAAACTGAATGACTTATTGCTTTGTCTTTTAGCAATTAAAGCTATTTGGGAGGTGCAGAGATGAATTAATGTTGGACCTATACATTCCAGACTAGGCATTGTTTCTTTAATGATTCTGGTGAGTTTCTGGAGGTTGGAATACCAGCAAGACATTGACTATTGCTATCATCTTGCATGTCTTTATCAAATCTGTATGACTATCATGTATTCATTGCTTTCTCCAAAATCCAAATTAATAATATTCTGTTGATAGGGTCATGGATAGAAAAAGGAGGGATAAGAATGAACCTCTAAAGCAATACGGTCACACTCCTTCACACGAATATATACATATTCTGTCTTACCTGTAACAAAATTTCAGAACAAAAATACAGAAAATTTGAATATATAACACCAATAACCCTAGTGTCTGTGTGTGTGTATATGGAAAAAATAAATATAATCAATGTATATGAAACAAGTGGCATATCATAAAAAAAAACAAGCATTTTCCCTACTTTCCCCAATCCATAATATATATGATTTTTTTCATAAACAAGAATATTATATTACAAAGGATAGAAACAAGTAAATATCATAAACAAGAATATTTTTCTTAAACATATATAATTTTTAAAAAAATATATCATGTTTGAATTTTGACTTCAATGAACTCAACAAGTCATAAGGCTGGGAGAGCCCTGGGAAAGTGACCCATTGGGTGTATGGCAGGGAACTGGGATATACCAATAAAGTTGGGGTCTCATAAAGATTTAATTCATACTTTTTTCATGTTCAAAAAAGAGAAGACAAAATGATCAGATTCATGTAACTAGCAAGACCAATCTAACTAAATAATGTTTTCTTGTTTCTTCCCATTGTACAGGTCCTCATTATACATGGGTTCTTCCTTTTTTCTAATACAATACTTTACCTTCTTCAAAAAACAAAAAAGCAATGGCTCTTTTCCACCTCAGGCTAGAAATTCATTAAAATCCCATCAAATACCCCTCTTAGTAAGATTGATGCAATTCATCATCATCATCATCATCATCATCAAAGCCTTATCCCAACAATATGAGGTCACCTACATGAATCCAGTTTCACCACTCCATTATTGTTTAATGCCATATCCATTGTTAAATTATTGGCGCTTAAATCATTTGGTCTACCCTTAACCCTTCTAGCCCCTTCATGGGTGTTGTTGATGATCTTTTATGCACGTGAACGAAGTAGGCTAAAAATGTCTGTGTCAATGGAAATGCAGGTCGTCCAAATATAGGAAACATGTCAGAAATGTTGGAAATATTGTAAAAATTATAGACATGGTGGAAGCATTGTAAAATATGCAAAATTATAGAATGATATTTTATGAAATGATAAAAGAAGCATAGGCACACCTTTTTAAATTATCATCTTGTTCCGAATCATTAAACAAAACTAAGAGACTAAGGTTATATAAAAAAGAATACGTTTTGAAGTTGTCCTGTAAAACTTAAGATTCAAAACTTTTGATTAAATGAATTAAAGCAAAATTTAAACTCAAAAAATGTAAATGGTTCTAATAGATCAACCAAATAATCTATTACACAAACAAAAAATAATATTTAACTTTATGTTTGAAATGAATATTGAGCAAGCTCAAAGTGGTAATTATGTAAATTAGGTGGGCAATAACATTATTACTCCACATATCTACAATATTGTCACCAACTTATGTTATAATACTATATCTTGTACTCCGCATAGTGTTGGTACTGTTCATTAGGGAATAGTCGATTCCAATAAAATTTTGTTTTGCTACCCATGGAAGTGGAAATAGAAATATGTCGTGGATACTATCTCTTGTACTCCACATAGTGTTGGTAGTGTTCATTGGGGAATATGTCGATTCTAATAAAATTTTGTGTCGCTAACCAATGAAATGGAAATGTTGTGGAAATATTAGGGAATTTAGGGACATTTTAAACCATGGACCGAACCATCTTAGTCTTCTTTCTCCCAATTTATCACTTATTGAAGTTACTCCTAGGTTCCTTCAAATGATTTCATTTCTTATCCTATCCTTTCTAGTTTTTCCACTCATCCATCTCAGCATACTTGTTTCTTCCACACTCATTTTTTGGACATGTTGTTTCTTGACTGTCCAACACTTTGTTCCATACAACATAACTGGCCTTGTTGGACATGGTCCGGTCACTTCTCGTACACTCAGAATTACCCACATCCTTTTGGGGATACGCATTAGAGACTGCTATCTACGTGCTGRATYGRKTTCYAACCAAATCAGTTCCGAAAACTCCATATGAACTTTGGACCGGAAGGAAGCCAAGTGTAAGACACTTGAAGATTTGGGGTTGTCCTGCACACGTTAAAAGAACAAGTGCGGAC